TTTCTGTTGTGTCTACACCCCACTCTCTGCTGGTGCTGAGAATGTGGGGGGCTCAGGAAGTCCAGTCTCTGGGGGGTTGGAGTTGGAAAGGCCACTACAGGCCACTCAAGGAGCTCCAGCAGTCATCCCAAGGCCTGCATAGCATCTGCTAAGAGCCGTGCACAAAGGCTTGGTGCCAGCCACACTGCTAGCCCTCAAACTCTAGGCTCTTTTCCAGGGCTGGGTTGACAGCTGGGTCCTCAGTGTGCTGCACCACTCAAGGGAATTACCTCACTTATAGTCAAGTCCCAGCTCCTTCCACTGAATTCAGCACTGGTCATAGAAAAGACCAGGCTCCCACCCTCCACAGCTTGTGCCAGAAGTCCCAGCAGCAGTCAGTTGCTGAAATTGATTTGTCAGTAGCCATACCCTCGAGGTCCCAGTTCAGCTGTATGTCATACACTCTGAGGTGTCTTCCAAAGCCACCCCCAATGTTGGGGAGACAAAAGTGAAAGGCCATGGGTAGGGGGATTCCTTAGAGACCAGAACTGAAGGAACAGGAGGCAGAAGCCCCGATAACATCATCTTTTTCTTGGCTTAGCAGACACCACATATAGATGCTTTTAGCGCTCAAGAGAAGGTTGCTGACAGGTTTGGCCTGTTCAAGGCCCTGTAACGTGGCATTAACCCAGGCTCTCCACTAATGGATGTGCTTGCTGTCATGTGAACTGTCTGAAATGCCAGGCAGCTATGTGAAAAATATTTGCCTGATCACAGGAAGCTTGAGTGGAAGACGTTGTGGTTAGAGGACATGGTAAAGTCACCCAGGTTTGAACCACTGAATGTGAGCCATTTAGCCTGGACCTTACCAATGAGACTATTCCATGATCCACACAATATGGAGAGGAAGTAGGTTGGTAGTACCAGTTCTGTTTTCAGGTGGAGATACCGAGGCACAAAACATAGGATATTTGCCCTGTGCATGCCATGAGCCAACTTCAAAGCCAATTTAAGAGGTAAGTGCTGAGAAACTTTGCTGTCATGTCTCTGCTTCAACCCTCCTCTTTAGCTTAGCTCCCCTCTCCAGCTTTTACCTCAGCTGTCAGGACTCCCTTAGTCAGGAGTCTATACCAGGCTGTTCATGACAACTGACTGTTCCTGGGGTAACAGAGTTCCTGAGACCAGTGTGGACTTTGAACATCTTCTAATATATGATGAGATTTCTTTAAGACCTCGAGATCCCCAAATCCATTAAGATGTCCCTGTTCCTTCAGGAAAGTGTGGCCAAGAAAAATGAAGGGAGGGAGCTTTTCTTCCCAAGAATGGAGGTGGTGTTGGCCTCCATCTTCAGTGAGCAGAAATGTGAGCTCTTTTTTCCTCACATGCTCCACTGAAGACTTGTGAATAATTCTAACATTACATGAGGCCAATGGCTTTGGGATAGACCTCCTATGTGACACAGGAATGTGTACCAACACTACAAATGTCACCACCCAACAAATCAATATGACCCGGATCCAGGTCAGCCCCAAGGGGGCATCTGGATATCTCTAGCTATTTGGGATTGTCACACTCACTGGGGGTGCTCTTGGCATCTTGAGGATAGAGATGAAGGGTGCTTAATGCTTTCCAGCACTCAGTCTCTACCCCAGATGTCAGCATTAAGTGCCCCTGGGGTCACTCTCACAGTCCTGTGATGGTGTTCTTCACACTCTCATATTGCGATTCTCCTGGATGATTTTATCCACTCTTTTTGCCTCTCTGCAATGAGAGGCTATAGGGCCTGGAGTCAGCCTCATGAAGGGAAAACCCAGACCACCTGCACTGAATCATGTCTCCATTCAAGGAGCAAGCCTTTCACTCACAGAGTTAAGGCTGGCATGTTGCCCCTGGGAAAGTAAATTCACATGGACACTGAACTCTGGCCCTGACTTGAGAGGGCCATAGAAGGGGTAGGGCAACACTAGCAAGATAGAGGACTCAGTAAAGTGGGCATTCCCCATCTCTTGCAGAGATTGCCCATGTCTCAGTGCTCCCCTTGGTAGCATATTGCTTCCTGGCTCTGAATTCCTTGGGGGCTACAGGGCAGCTAAGGACATTTTTGGAATCACAGAGCACACAAAGGACTGAGTGCAGCCTGACCGCAGACAGTGTGAGAGTGCCAAGACCAGGCAGTTGCCCTCTAAAACTGAGACCCTGTCTCCAGATAGGACAGAGGAGGAAAAGCCTGGGCTGTGGGTACTGCTGTCCTGCTGGGAGGGAGGAGGTGCTGTGTGTAAAGTAGGTGCCAGTGGGTACTTGTCAAGGACATTCATTTCAAAGGGATTGGCATTCACCAACCCACACAGACGTCAGGCTTAGAGTTGAATTTCTTTCTCACGGACTTAACCCAAGTTCCTTCTCAGTGGCCCACCAAGAAAGGCCTCATCTTGATCTTGCTTATACACAGCAGTGTCACCTCAGTGCCAGCTGCTAAGGACTCAGTGTGATAAGACACCATCATCTGTCTGTCACTCGAAATTCCTGGGTGTTGCCACTGTGAGAGTTAAGTTCCTTCACTTTTCTGATTGCCTCAAACCTCCAAGGGTGCGGTACTGCCCTACTCTTCTCTTTTCCATGCATCCTTGTCCCTGAAAGGTGCCCTGTGCAGAAGGCAAGGGAGATGGCTGTGCAGGGCTGCCTGCATTGTCCCTGGCATCAGCGTATTGCTTCTGGGTTCTAGTGAGCAAAGGGAGACATTTAGCTCCCCCACTCATGCTGCTGTGGAAGCTGGGGAGCTGGGTCTTCCTTGTTCAACTCCAGGGAACCTCCTTAAAGAGGTCACCTGAGTTGGGTGTGATGCTCACCTCGGTAATCTAAGTACTCAGGAGGCTGAGTCAGGAGGATTGCTGTGAGTTCAAGACCAGCCTGAGCTATATAGTGAATTTCCAGGCCAGCCTGGGCTACAGTGTGAGACCATGTCTCAAACAAACTAAAGAGGAGGAAGGAAAAGAGAGGAGGAAAGTACCCTCCTAGAGCGCTAGGGGCTCCATGGTTGAGCACTTTCCTAGCATTTACAAGACCAAGGCCATGGGTTGGATTCTCCAGCACCAGGAAAAAAAAAAAAAAAGTCACCTGGAATTGTGGTCTTTTCCTTATCTCCCCAAACAAAGCCAGCCACAGGTCTAGGTCTGCCCAAGTGATTCCTGCTCCCCAGGCAGCTGCTTGACCCAGGCTTTGAAGACTGTGGGGCTCCCCCTGGCCAGCCTTTCTTCTTGTTCATACTCCAGGGTTTCTGGGCACTTCCATGAGAGAGCCAGACACCTGGACCTCCACCACTCTCGACCATGGCCACATGTGGCTTCCTAGGTCCAGGAAGCCAGAGGTTTATCTATGTTCTTCACATTGCAGCGTCCGTCCCTCCCTCTGCTGGGGTCTTCCAGAGTTGTGGCTGTGGGACATCAGGACCTGCTGAGCAACTGAGGACATGGTAGCCAGGGTCTTGTGGGCTGCTCTGAGGACTCTAGATAGAGTTAGGAGCCACTGAGCCAGAGACCACTTAGCAGGAAGAGTCTAAAGAAACCAAAGCTACACCTCTACAATGAAGGTGGCTCCAGGGCCCAACGTGGAGGCTGGACATTGCTGAACTGCTCCTGGTGACATTGGAGTGTCTGAGGAAACAGGGCCACAAGCAAGAACTCTGAGGTAGGACTGGTGGGTTTGTTCAGCCCAGTGGTGGGTACTTGGGAACAGAGGGCCTGTGGACAAAGGCGGTGAGGAAGCACAGTTGGGGCCGGTGTGCAGGTGCATCTGATTAAAAAACAAAAACAGCCCAGCTGATGGGCAAGTCATTCCTCTGTGTAAAATGAAATACCTGATGAAGTGAATTCTTTCCAAAGGAGAGAGCAAGGTTAGAGCTGGAGACTGTGGGAGACAGGAAGTGATGGCACAGGACCTGAAGGCAGGATGACTCCGTGTGAACCTCACCAGTAAGGGCAGTGCTCCTCAGAAGGAGACCTTCCTGCACCCCGGGGGATCTTCGATCATGTGGAAAGAGTTGCAGGGCATCATCATCTAGTTTTAGCCTTTCTCCAGGGTCTCATCTGTCCCATCATGATAGAGCCACCCATGTTGCCATCAGGGCCACTTCTCATGTTCATGATGCTTCCAACAGGGCATGGGGTGAAGCCATAGGGTCTTGCTTTGATGAAAGGCCTTCCCGGGGTCTGCTGCTTCTGTGCTCAAGGCCCAGCCCAGGAAGGCAGTGTAGCTATATTTCCATCAATTTCCAGGGAAACGGATTCTAGAAAAAGCTACCATATCACTGTCTTGGATTCCAGTGTTTCCATTTGTAAATAAGAACAGAATGAATAAAATTTAACTGATTGTTACACACACCGTGTATGTGTGTGGGGGGTGTGGGGGGTGTTGATAGCACATGGTTAATAATAAAGGCCTCACAGAAGCCCTTCTGAAGCGTTCTAGTAATTCATAAATGATTAATGCTCCATCCATTAGTCCTGAATTAGTTTGCAGTGTAGTGAAGACTCCAGATCCCAAAGGCTCTCGGGCAGTTTCTCCCAGCAGAGGTGACAAGCTGCCAGCTTGGTACTCCAGAAGGAGCAGAGTCCTAGCAACGGGTTACATGCAGGTATGGCGTGACATCACAGCGCTGACTCCTCTTGGGATACCGGTTTCAAAGTTAGCTTTCCTCTCTCCCTCCAGGAAAAAAAAAATGTAAGGGGAAATCAAACTTTTTAAAAGATATCAGGAAACACAATCCTGAAACCAAAGGCTTCCTTCTGGAGCACTGTCTTGAGGGCACCCTGGGGACCATAAGCTCTGTGGCATAGAGGTGAAAGGTCATTCCTGACATAGGCAGCCACAGTATGGCTGTGTGGCTCACAGCTCATTCACTCTCCATTCCCCACAAAAAAGTATCTTCAGATGTTCACTGGCTGCTGGGACTCAGGACTTCCTGTTGGCCCTTGTCCTTTGTGAAGGCCTCCACAACAGTCAACTAGGCAGCAGGAGCCATCAGGCTAGTTGCCTGACAGCTTTGGCCGTCCTAGGTTTGTTGGCACCTCCAATCCTGAATGCAGGGTGACCTGGAAAAGATGATGAAACAAACAGGGGTTGGCTCAGTGGCAGAGTGCTTTGCATAGTGTGCCCAAGGCCCTGGTTCCCATCCCTAACACAGGAGAGAGGGAGAGGAGGAAGAGGCCGGAAGCAGAGGAAATGGACAGGAACAAAGGACAGGAGAGGCTGTCCATAACACCAAACACTGTGGCAGCCCTGTGACCACATGCTGTGCCCTGTCTTCCCTGGAGAACTTATGCTACAAACTTTGCTACTCATTTGTCCACTTCACATTGCTAAGGCGGTGTCACCTGTACATCCTTCCTTATAATAGGAGCTATACTAATGACCAGCTGGTTTCCCTGTTTGGCTAGAGCCGTCAAGCCCCATAGCAGAGGGGCTCTGGTTCTCATAGGTGACTCTGCATCTCCTGTCTCTTCTAGAAACCTGACAGCTCATATTGTGCTCCTCAACTCCCCTTTTCAAGTAACCAATGCCAGAATGTAGTGGACCCAGTTGTAGGGCAGTAGACATAAATCGAGTCCCTTGATGGCCCCAGGGACAGAAGGAATATGCAAAAAGTGGAGGATGCCCCTGTCCTCTGACCTCTCATTTGGCCGGTGTCAGGAGCTCCTTTGCCATCCCATTCCCCTGGGACACTGAGCCCCCTGCTCCTCCCCAGAGCCCCCACAGAGCTTGTTTGCTCCAAGTAATCAATAGTACTTAGGACCTCCTCCATGGATTATCAGAGAGGCCAGCAGACAGACTGCTGATCTGGTGAATGAGGTGGCCAGTTTCATCACAGTGCACATTGTTTAGGAAGCAGACAAGTTGCAGGGACTGGGCAGGCCAGCCATGGCTCTGAAGATACCTGCACATTTCGGTTGAGGCTGAGAGCAGGCATGAAGACCCCATCCACGTGGCTGAAGGCTGTGGGGCCCTGCTGCTGCCCATTGATGAAGAAGGTCAACGTGTGCTTGTTCAGGTCCAGCAGTACGCCCACAGTGGCCCCCTTGCATACACCGCCTTCAGTCCTGAGAAGATAAGCCAGGAAAACCTGTCACCACACCCAGATCATGGTATCACAGTAACTGAGAATTCCTCAAAGGATGTTGGGAACACCCTCATCCAAAATCGGCTTCTAGGGGTATGTGTGTCAGATACAAGAGAAGACAGCTCTGAGGGACCAAGACTGCTCTGCCCCTTCTTATCCATAGTGTCGGAGACCTACACACACACACACACACCAGAGAATGAGAGTTTGGGTGGGTGGATCCCTCCTGAAACCACAGGGCACCAAGCATGAGCACAGAGGAAGAGTGACAGGTCATCTTTGTGTCCTCAGTCCTGTGGTGCTACTGAATGCAGTGGGGAAGGGTACAACAGATGGAAAGGGAAACTAGAACTGGATAGTCAATGCATTTCTAAAACTAAACACCAGGTGGCAGTGGTGACAATTCTGACCTGCTGGCTTTCTACACAACCACCCTTAGGATCAAGGTCACAGGTCTGAGAGCAGTGTGGAGCTTCTTCTGGGAGGAAGGTCACCTGTATTTGCCCCACACCTGAAACATGGGAGGAGCGTAAACAGGTGTAGTTCCTCTCTTCTGCTGTCTTTTGGCTCTTGTCTTCCTTCTGGTACTCTACTGGGAAGTCGAGGGGCTGGCTAGCAAGGACTCCAGATCATTTGGGTACTATGACAGCCTGTGCCCTGGGGATTGAGGAGTCCCCACAACAGGAGACTCCACAGATGTCCTCTCTAAATCCTAACAGCACCTCTTATTCTACTCGGGTCTGAGCAAAGTCCAGCCTGCCTAAACTTGCCTCATAATCTACAAAAGCGATAGAGCTTTTGTGAGGATTAACGGCACTCATGTAGCCCCCTTGAATCCTACAGTTTCAAGCATAATGAGCACACAATGTGTGTTTGAGCTTATCTCTGCCACCATCACAGGGCATCTAGGTTCTTAGTTAGCCCACAGTTAGTTCAAGCCCACAGACACGGTATCACAGTAATGGAACTGGTAGGCCAGGGTGATCTTGGTCCCTCTGAGGGTTGGAGGTGGAGGGAGGTCAACATGTAGCACCCAGTAAATCCACAGCACCTGGTCAGCCTGCATCACCAGGTCAACCTGCATCACCTCGTCATTCTGGATCACCTGGTAATCCTGGACCACCTGGTTGGCCCGTGCCACCTGTTTAGCCGTCAGCATGCAGTCAGCCACTTGCGTCACCTAGTCAACTTGCATCACCTGGTCAGCCTGTATCACTTGGTTAGCCTACATCACTTAGTCTGCAATACCTGGCCAGGCTGCTTTACTTAGTCAACCTGAAGTGCCTGGTCAGTTCCATAGCTCAGCTAAGAGACTACAGGAATAGCTGCTGCCCTTTCCATAAGCCTGTGGAGAGGAGGACATTACCAGTGAAAAGATAGTGGTCAGGTAGGAACCTGAGGGTCCTCGGCAAGTTCTTGGCCAAACTAGACCTGGCTTTCCTGGGGGAGAAGCTGGGTTACTCGCTGTGAAGAGAGCATTCAGAGCTTTTTGTAAGAGCAGTAGGTTGCCAAGAACACTGTGCCTCAGGTATAAACCAACCCTGCCAGGAGTCCAGTGAGGTCAGCTCCTTGAGGTTGAAGTTCCTTACTTTTTCCCCAGGGAAGTGGCAGGGTCATTCCAGGCAAACCACCAGCCATGGTAATGACTTCTGCTCTTGCTGTGGGAAACAAGTCTCTTATTAGCTCTGTGCAGTGACTCAGGCTTAGCTTGATGGTTGTAAAGGAAATTGGAGTAGGCCCAGTAAAAAAAACCCACAAATTAAGCCCCCAGCAGAAAGCCATTGTGAGGCCAGCTGGGGGATGGAGAACCACTGGGCCAGAGCTGCTCCTGCCATCAAGTACTTTCATTTATGCTGTAGGCAAATGGTTTACTTTTCCCAGTCATTGTTCAAGCCCCCTGGAACTAGAGTGCCAAGTACGCTAAAAACAAACAAACAAAAAGCCCAACTCCTCTCCTAACTCTTGGGGACAATCAAAGGGACACTGATCTGCAAGACACTTATCCCCAGTCCCTGAACCCTTGGAGGGCAGGGTGGCTACGCACCTGTTGGTGTGGGAGTTACAGTGCAGAAACCAGCTGCGGTTGTTGTCCACATACATGGCCCAGGCCTTGTCGTCCTTGCCCAGCATCATGTCCTTGACTACGCTGGCCCTGGCCACCCCGAAGGCAGGGTCTGGGTGGTTGTCATACCGATCCACGTGCAGCTCCCAGTAGTGCACACCTTTGGAGAATGCAGCTGTGCCTAGCACCACCCGGTCATCATAGCTGCTGCAGGTGGCTGTCTGGTTGTCATTAGACAAGATGATGTCCCGGTGGCCAGAGTTGGGGTCAAAAGTGAACCAGGCCACTGGAAAGGATGAAGTCAAAAGAAACAAGGTCAAATAATCTCTCCCTCTCTTCTTTTCCCCCTCTCTTCTTATCCCTTCTTCCCTTTCTACCACCACCCCCACAAATTTTGCTGTATAGCCAAGGGGATTGACAGACTCACTTGCTGTTACCAGAGTTAATTCACTGTGGGATTCGTACACACTTTCACACACTCACAGAGCAGCTTCTGCTTGTTCCTGCCTCCAGGTTCCTGCCTCCAGTTCCTGCCCTGACTTCCCTCAGTGATGGACTGTGACCTGAGAGCTCTCTCTCTCTCTTTCTCTCTCTCTTTCTCTCTCTCTCCTCTCTCTCTCTCTCTCTCTCTCTCTCTCTCTCTCTCTCTCTCTCTCTCTCATGCTCCCTTCTCTGTGTTCCTTCAAATTTCCATTCCATGGATCTATCCTTGCTAAGGAGTACAGGCATGCAGGCTGCCTGGCCCCACATTCGGGTGCATTTCCTGGAGCCCCGAGTCCTAGCATCTCTCCAAAAGATGCAGACTCTGTTAGAAGTGACAGAGGAAGTGGTTATCCACGGCCCACTTAGTAGGGAGGAGATTGAAACACAAAGAGGTGACATGATGTGGCCAAGGTCACAAATCTCAGGGCTCATTAGATGGCACTGTCTTCTGCTAACCCCAATCCCCCACCAAACCCAGCATGTGGGAAGTAAAGTCTTGCTCTGACATGTGACTGCACAGCTGAGGATTGCTCACCATCAGAGGTCTGTAGGACCACAGTCTTGCTGTAGGGACCGACGCCAGAGGAGTTGAAGGCTTTGACTCTGGCATTGTACGTGCTGTTAAAATGAAGCCCGTCAATGGTGCACAGGGTCTCCTTGCCAACATATACTTCCTGCAAGAGCCAAGGACTTTCATTACACCTCAGCACTGCCAGAAGTTCCCCTGAGGTGCACATCAACACCAGAAGTGCCCTCACACCTACAGAAGTACCATATAAGAGATGTTACAACCCAGGCTAATAACCCTGGTGGGGCCAGGCTTTGTTCCTTACTCTCAAATTGCTGGCTCCTGTCTCTGGGATGCTGTAAAAGGAATAGGATCCTGGAAAGATAGGGTTGCAGGTGTAAAGCTGGCTAGGATGTGCCTGAGAGCTCTCTGCCTCCACTCTCAGCCCTGCCAGAAGTCTGTGAACCCTCTTGCCCTGCCCCATCAGCATCTTTTGCTCTTTGACACCTGTCTGTGCTGGTTTCTGGTTCTTCAAGATGGCGAGTTTCCATGCATTGGAGCTTGGATCTTATTTCCTATGGTTTTTACTTTATTCCCTATTCACTTTCAAGTTTCCTTTGTCCTACTCAGCCCAAGTTTGTATTGGTTTGTTTGAAACAAGGCATTTCTCTGTAGCTCAGGCTGGCCTCAAACTCTCAATCCTTCTGCCCCAGCCTCTCAGTGCTATCATTCTAGGCATGAGTCACCACACCTATGTAGCATTCATTTTCATGTGTCCTCATGAACCAGCAGCTTGCCAGGTTCTGAAGGGCCCAAGAGAACGTCTTCCACTGCAAAAACAACATGCTAACAAGACAGGATCCCACCCCACCATCAAAGCCAGAGAACCAGACTAAAGGCAGTGTGGAAAAGCCCAGCAAAGAATTGTATGGGAGGTATGTAAGATGTGGGCTAGCCTGTGGAAAGTGTATATGTGTAAGCAGTGCACTCTCTGAATTGTCAGCTCATATCATCCAGACTTCTCTCTCTGATCCCTCTCCCTGAGGCTGTGGCCACAGCTACTACCATAGGAAGTGCTACCTCGGCAGATACCTCTCCCTGAGGCTGTGGCCACAGCTACTACCATAGGAAGTGCTACCTCCCAAGAGCTCAGGCCAGCAGACTCTCCTTGTCTTGGTGGTCAAGGTGCTTGTCTTAGGGTAACAACAGGGTTAAGACTCACAGGCCAGTCCTGTCTGGGCCTGTGCATTAGGGTTCTTAAACAACAGCAGGCCTCACCTGCAACTGCCCTCGAGACAAGCAGGCCTCAGCAAGCCTCTGTTGTGGAATATTAGTTAAAGATTATATATTCTTTTATGCTGTGGAACATTTGTTTAATAATGCAAATATGTGCTGTATTCTTTATGCTGCAATCTGTTTAACTCTGTGAAGCTCTGTTAACTTTGCCTGCCTAAAACACCTGATTGGTCTAATAAAGAGCTGAATGGCCAATAGCTAGGCAGGAGAAAGTATAAGCAAGGCTGGCAGGCAAGAGAAGATAGAAGGGCAGGAAAAGAAGAAGAGGAGGACTTCAGGGGCCAGCCACTCAGCCTCACAGCAAGCAATGGAGTAAGAAGCAAAGAAAGGTATATAGGATAAAGATGAAAGCCCAGAGGTAAAAGGTAGATAGGATAATTTAAGTTAGAAAAGTTGGCTAGAAACAATCCAAGCTAAGGCTGGACATTTATGAGTAATAATAAGTCTCTGTGCATTTATTTGGAGCTGGGTGGAGGGCCCCCGAAAGAGCCAAAGAGTAAAAAATAACAACAGGCCTTACTGGAAACTGCCCCTGAACGGCAGCATGTAGCTCACCCGGAACTGCCCCCCATCGCCATCGTCCAGCTCCAGGATGTAGCCATCAGCAGGGCTGTGAGTGAAGGGTGGTGTCCTCCAGGCCAGGGTGACACTGTTATTGCGGGTGCAGCACTTTTCCAGCTGCAGCAGGGGTACAGGTGGCACTGTGACAGGAATTGTTCTGGTCAGCACGCAGCATCCTCTTGCAGTCCCAAATCCACGCCAAACCCGTCCAACCCTTGGGACCCATTCCCTGAGGAAGGAAGTCCTCTTTCCCATCTTCCCACCAAGATCCCTGGTGTTGGCTCCTGGGCCATGAGGCACACCCAAATGACCTCAGCACCATTCATACTGTACATGCTGTAGAGTCACCTATGTGAGGGCAGATGGCAGGGCAGGAAACCAAGTGAGAGCTGGCCTGCAGCTTACACTTGAGCTGAAAATGGAGATGCTTTTGCTTGGATCTTAATGCCCCAGGATGGCACTATTCGGGGTGGTAAAGTCTTTAAGAGGTGAGGACGAATGGGCACATTGGTGGTATGCCCATGAAGGAGACGGTGGGACCCTAGGGCTTTTCTCTTTCTCCTTTCTGCTTCCTGGCCACAGGGCAAGGGGCTGGGCTCTACCATGGCATGCTCACCACAGGCCCAAAGCCACAGGCCAGTCATAGATTAACACTTGCAAAACTGTGCACCCAGATAAATCTTTCCTCTTTTATATGTTGATCATCTCGGGTGTGACAGAAAGATTACTGACATGGATGAGGGACAAAATGCACAGGTGGTTAGAATCTCAAAGGAAGCTTTCTTTGCAGGGTCAGGGGACCAGACCATGGCACCAGACACAACTTCAGATGGATAGGTAGCCAACCCATGGAGCAAGGGACTGAATGGAGCATGCTCTGAGCTCACTAAAGACGGACAGGAGAACCTGAATATGTTCCAGCTCTGCTCAGGTTCAAGAGGGTCTGGAAGGTGACACAGGACACTCTGGCCTGGTTTGGAAGGGAAAACGGCAAGACTTGTGCTATAAACCTGCAAGTTTCATTTTGACTCAGAGTGAGCTTATTGTCGGTCGCCAGATGGTCCAGGAAGGGGAGTCTGTGTCAACAATAGGCATTTGGCTCAGCCCATCCCTCCCTCCACTTGGCTGAAGGAAACCCTTGCCATCCTCTCATTTCTTCATCTCCCACACCCTAAAATTCAGCATCTATACTCCCAAGCTTTTTGCCCTGGAGCCCCCACTTTCCAGGACTATCTTCCCATCTGTAAGGGAATGAGCCTCGGGATGACCTGGGGCCAGTGATATGGCTCCCCTAAAACCACACTGCCTGTCTTCCCTTCTGGATGAACCTGGGGCACCTTGGGGAAGGTGGTGCATAGGCCATCTTTCATAAGTTCTGACTAGCCAAGTTGTGCAAGTTTCACTGACCCTTGGCTCTGGATCCCTGCTGACTCTCTGAACCCAGTTCCTATCATCCTCCACTCGTCCATTCTTTTCTCCCTCTTGGGATAGAAGCTGGTTCCTGACTTGGGGCCTTGGCACTCACCACCCTCTTTCACCTGCAAAGCTCTACCCCTATTGCTCCTCTTCCCTGCCCTCATCCCTTCCCCCCTCATCCTGTTTCCTTCCTTCTCTTCTCCTTCCCTCCTTCCTCTTCCTCCTCTCTTTTCTCCTATCTCCTGTCTCCTAATTCTTTTTCTTCTCCTTTTTCCTTCCTTCCTTCTTTCCTTCCTCCTCCTCCTCCTCTTTCCCCTAGTCTCCTTCCTCCTGCTCTCTTACTTCCCTACTTCCTCTCCTCCTCTTCCTTCTCCCCTCTTCTTCTCACTTTTTCCTCCTCTTCTCCATTCTCTTTTTCTTCCTCCTCTCCCTCTCCTCTGTTTGTTAGGATAACAGGTGCACCACCATACCTGGCTCCTCCCCTTCCTCTTTGTTCTTTCCTCCCATCTCTTCTTCTCCCCTTTCCTCCTCTTCTCCCCTCTCTCATCCTCCTTCTCCTCCTCATCTAAGAATATACTCTGATATCTGCCCTTTCTCCCTAGCTCCTGCTGCTAACATTGATGTGTTCCTGCATTGATGCTTCAGCGAGTGCAGTCTGGGTGGGAATCTGCAGCCTTGCTCACATCTGCAACCTGAGTGGCAGCCCAGGACATGATGGCACTGCCCTGTTCATTCTGCTTCCTGTCCTTGTTCCTTGGTCTAGGAAAAGGAGTTCAAGTTCATCTGCAGCTCTCCCATCCTGGCCAGGACCTGAGATTCTCACCCTTTCCTCTGCCACCCTGCACAACAGGCCCCTGTCACCATCAAGCTGCCCTTAGCCTCTGTGCCTCTTGGGGAGGCAGCATCACTAAATGGGTCCGACCACGGCTCACCCCTACATTTCATCTGGACGAAATCCAGCTGGTGAATGGCTTGCAGCAGCGGTTCGCTGTCCAGAGTCAGGTCAAACTCTGCAGATACTTTGGGTTCCAGGGCACCTTTGACCCACTGCTCCTGAGACACCTGCACACGCTTGATCAGGGCATCTGAAATCTTAAAGGGGGCACAGAAAGAAGGTTTGGGCTTGCAGAGGAAGAGCTAGTAGCCTTTGTGAGGAGGGACTCAGCTTTGTCTATAGCTCATTAAAGGGAAGAGGTGGCCTGAGCCTGAAGCTGTGAGCCATGGTGAAGCTTAAGTGAACCCAACCACCTAGACAAGCCGTGCTATTTCAGCCACAGTTCAACCACATAATCATGTTAATGTAATTTTTATTTTTTTTATTTTTGTGATCATGTTAATGTGAAGAACCACCAAGGAGCTTTAAAAAAAAATGTGACCCAAACTCTTTTATGAAGTCATGGTGCTTTTTTTTTTTTTTCAGATAGGCAAATACATGCTGGGGCAATGACCCTGACAAGGCTGTGCCATGTCTGGGGAAAAGTAGATTCTGCCCCTCATCTCTCTCTCTCTCTGTGGAGTCTGCCCCACTCACGTGGTAGAGATTGTGTTTTCCCATTACTGGGAAAAATACTGGAACATGGCATTTAGTCCCAGAAATAATGCCTTTTCAACTTCTTGTTTATTGGCTGAAGCAGCATCAGGGTTCTTCCTAGTGAGGGTCAGAGCCATGATGACAGCCCAGGTCTTCTGGCCTCACAGAGCAAAGGAGAAGCTATTCAAGTCCCATCCAGGGAGGGAGAGAACCTAGAGGGAGCCCTGGTTCAGGAAGAATAGGGAGCATTGGTGGAACTGAAGGAAGTTGCCTGCAGTGGTCCTCCAGGGGCCACTCACCTGCAGGAACCCAGAGGGGTCATCCTCCTTAATCACCTCCAGGCAGTACTCCATCAGGCCTGTGGACTGGCGCAGCTTCAGTGTGCAGTGATTGATCTGGTCCCAAACCATCTGCAATGGAGAGAGAGAAAGAGCTCTGAAGAACCCACTTGTGAGGAAAACTAATCAGTTACAACAACAGTGTATGAGCGGGTCCCTGGGAGGCTGGGAAGGGTGCTGTTGATCTGCTCCACCTCACTACCAGCACGCGACTCTGCTCCTGAGTTTTGTAGTCATCACTGGGAATCAACGGACCCACTTCTAACACAGCAAAGCTCTCAGAGTTCTGGGCAGCTAGGCACACAAAGCCAGAAACTCACTAAAGATGTGTTAAGTTACTAGATTTGAAAGACATTAAAAGATAATTTGTTAGTGCAAATTAGAATAGAAAGTAACTTAGGTACAAGACTTTGGACTCATCAAGAAAGAATAGATATGGAGTATTTTCTCTGAATTTGTCAAACACTATTAGACTAGACATTGTTGATGCACTTATTGCCTGTATATATTATGTATAGTTATTATACTTCTTGTATATAGTTTTTCTTATGTTAATTAATTTTAGATAATAAAGGGGGATATGTAGTGTTATCTTGCTTGGACAAATAAAGCCTGTCTGAAGGTCAGAGAATGGAGCTTGCTACTAGCTAACCATAGAGGCCTGGAGGTCTGTACAGACAGACAGGAAGTGAGGTAGCTTCATAGAAACAGGATATGAGCAGGGAGAAACAGGAACTAGCTGTCTTGTCTGAGGAGAAGCAAAGGAGATAAGGTGTGGTGGTAGCTTGTTCCTTCTTTCTTTCATCTATATCTGACTCCAGATTTTTATTACTTAGACCAATTAAAAACTCCATTTACATTTTTACCCACTGAATCTGTTTATTTATTTTAGTTTATATTTTCTTTATTATTATTATTAGTAGTAGTAGTAGTATTAATTTATTTTTACATTCCAATCCCAGTTCCCTCTCCCTCCTCTCTTCCTGCTCCCCCAACCCCCTCACCTCCCATCTGCTCCTTGGTGGAGAGGGTAAGGGCTCCCCTAGGAAGTTTACTAAGTCTGTGGCATCATCTAGTTGAGGCAGGACCAAGGCACCTCTCCACCCCCACACCCCTGTGTCTAGGCTGGACAAGTTATCTCTCCATATAGAATGGAAGAACTCCATTTACAGCTGTCTGCCCCAGCTAGGCAAGATGAGAGGAGACTCCACAAACCCAACAGACACAGAAGTCCAGAGCAAGTGGGAGACGGGAGACTGATTTAAAGACTGCAGGATTCGGCAGGCCACCTGGCCTGGGAGACTGCTTTAGAGTATCCCCTGAGTATACCTGAACCAGCCAACTCAGAGCCCCCCCAGCCATATCTCACTTACCATCTTTTGCTCAAGGCAGTGCCACCCTATGTTGGGTGCAGGCGACATAATAGGGACAGAGGAATAGGCTACTTGGTCCTTACCTTCAGCTTGTGCTCCCTCTCTTTCGTCACCTTGGTGAGCAGCTTAGCTTTCTGCCGAGTCAGTGCATCCACCAGGGCATCACACTGTGCCACCAGGCAAGCTTCATAGTCCAATCCATTTTCCTGGGGAAGCAGAGAACTGTGATGAGGAGGGGCTGGCATCTATGGTCCAGAGGTAACAGCTCCTCCCAGAGCTCTTTGTACTTTTTCCAAGTTGGGGGCAGCATGAATCATGAATGTGCATCAAGGAAGGGTTCCAAGAACCATGACACTGCTACATGATAAAACAGTTTATAGTCTGTTCATAGAACATTTTTGATGCCATGGAGAAGTAGTCATGGGAGATGGTTAAAAGGAGAAAAGCCTGAGTGAGATGGGGCATGCCTGTCATCCCAGCACCCAAGAGGCACAGGGAGAAGGATCTTGACCTGAAGCTTACTTAGTCCAGAGACCTTGTCTTTAGAAAGGAGAAGGGAGAGGAGGAAGAAAGGAAACAGGACACAATAATTTCCCATATACATTAAGTGTATGTGTATATGTGTGTGCATCTGTGTGTCTGTGTATCTGTCTATATGAATATATGTGTGGTGAGGTTGTGTGTATATGTATGTACACATGTGTGTATGTGACAAGCATGGTTACCTCGGATGAGGGATTTGGTGAGCTTTTTATCAGTTCTATCTTCCATACTCTCTAAAATCTCTGCACCACACACTTTGCAGAAATAGTAAGGAAAACAAGAGTGTGTGTCTGCCTCAGTTTCTGGGTCTCTAGGATCTGGGTAGATTCTGACTTCTGGCTATGAGCTCAATTGTCCCCCTCAATCATATTCTGAATCACAAGCCCCAGGACCGCAGAGTGTGGCTGTGTTTGAAGCCAGAAGTTAAAATGAGGTCATCAGGGTGGCCACAGTCCAATCCAAATGGTGTTCTTATGAGATGAAGAAATCAGGACACAGACACACAGAGGGACAGCCACATGAGGACACAGGGAGGACTGCCATCTGCAAGCCAGGCAGAGATGCCTCAGGAAAAGCTAGGTGACCTTGCACTTGCAGCCTCTGAGCTGAATGCACTTCTGTTGCTGCCTCTGCTCCATCTCTGATCTCTTATGGTGACATTCACTGAAAACTAACACATCTTGTGCTCATGAAACATCAGAGCCCTGTGACTTAAGATGGGAATCAGGCAGGGCGTGCATCCCGTGTTTATCATCTTAGCACTTTCGAGACTAAGGCCAATTTGGGCTTTGTAATGAGACCCTGTATAAAATACTAATAATAATAACAATAATAATAATTTTTAAAGGAGGAAGAAAGGTAGGAGAGAAAGAGGAGGATAAAGAAGAACAGTTCAGAGCTCTTAGTCCTTTGCTCCAGCTGGGCATGAAAATGCCCTGGGCCTTCCCCTGTGCAGATGGACCCTGCATGTGCACATGGTTGAACTCTCTCTTCCTTGCCCATGGCTCAATGAAGCAAGACTCACTGATTTCTGTATGTTTTTCAGGCTCAGTGTGGGATATATCATAGACACTCAGGTAACACATTTGTTTAGGGAATTAGATGTTTATATTTCAGTGCACTGATTACACAGACATGTCTAAGTACAAAAGCTGTTAACCTGCATGTAAATAGACTGAGAGTGGCACTTTCAGCACCCAGGACTACACAACCAGACAGGTCAACCCTTAAAAAAAAATCATTACCGAAAATCACTTGTCCCCAGACCAGCCCTCCTTTTACTCTGAGTTTGGCAAACAGCCCACACTGTCTGTCCAGAATCACAGTCTGCTCACCTGGATCTGCTGCAGTATGTTCTTGAGCTGAACCAGAAACTCCTTCGCCTCTTTGGCTTTATCTGAAACCCCATTTAAGGCCTGAGACAGCTGGGCCTGGAAAAGACATCACATTATGGAGAAGCTAGTTAGTGTCGAAGGCATGCACCTGCATCCATCATGATAGCCTGTGTTTGTAAGCGAGGCTAAACCGGTCCCACTGGTGAGTTTGTCCTCACTTCAAAAGAGGCTACAACTGACTCACAAATCATACCATACAAGCCTGTTTTCCATTTGTTGTTGATGTTGTTTACATGAGGGGCTGAGAGAGAAACTCTAGACCTTGTGCATGCTAATTAGGCAATCTATCACTGAGCTATATCCCTGGACCAACATGTATCGATTTCCCTGCAGGGCTTGTTGAGTTCTAGTTTCATTTCTATTGCTGTGATTAAAAAACAAAAACAAGCAAACAAACAAAACCCTAACAAAAAGCAATGTAGGAGGGGGGAAGCATGTATTTGGCTTGCACTTCCAAGTTACGGTCCATTATTGTGGGGATGTCAAAGCAGATCATAGAGCACTATGTCCACAGTTAAGAGCACAGAGAATAAATGCATGGATCTGTGCTTGCCTGCTTTCAGCTAGCTTCTTCCTCTTATGCAGTTCAGGACTCCTTGCCTAGGAAATGGTGCTGCCCACAGTGGACTAAATCTCCCCACATTCATTAGCTTAATTAAGACACCACCGCCGCCGCACACAGAGATAAGCCTACAAGCCAACCCATGTAAGTGATCCTCATTGAGAGACTCTCTTCCCAGGTGATACTATCTGTGTCAGGTTGACATTTAACCTAGCACCTGAGTGTTGACTAGTCCACAGTCTACCACCTAACCCCAAAGCTGCATTCAAGTAGTGAGCTAATGGGTTGAAACTAACAGCCTGTCCCTGATGGCTGCAGTGCTCTGGGCAAGAAGACAGATGGGCCTTTGCCTGGGCAGTGCCCTCTCTTTCTGCCATATACAGATCTGTCTCCCATCAATAGTAATGTAAATATTTCATATGCAGTCAGGCTCCACCCTCTACCTACCTACCTAACTACCTCTCCACACTGTTGCCTTTTCTGACACTGAGGACAGGGCGAGCCCCCAAGCCAGGCCCAGAGCTATGATTTAACCTGAACCATATTTTTCAGAGTAAAAATGTTGAGTATGGAAGAAAACCGAACCAGAAAGGCCAGCACCTCCTCACCTCACACTCCTTTCCTTGCTGTGTCAGCTCAGATGCCACCCTGCTTATCGAGCCCTAGTGAATCAACCCCATACCTCCCTTTCCTCTGTTCTTCATAACCTTCTGTAACTGCCCATCTCTGCTTCTCTCCAAGGACAGCAGCCACCTCAGATGGGGTACCTGGGATTCACAGCTGAGTGTGTGCTATATAGTACAACTGCAGGAATGAGCCAAAGAGTGTGTTGCTAGGCAATCCCATGGTTCTCTGGTGGGGCCCTAGACAGGGGATCAGCATCCAGGAACTTCCTTAGAAGTACAGCCTGCTGTTACACCCCAGAGATGCCTGATGGAAGCCCAGGTTTCTGAGCCTAACATTCCCCTTAGGAGTTTCTGCTGCACTCTGAGACCATCAGCCTGTGCAGAGGTCAAGGAAACTCATACATATAAAGTGACACTTGGTTCACCTCTAAAGACCTAGGGCAATTCATGGGAAGAGGAAGCACCTAGCCCCAAAAGCACCAACCATACAAGCTAAGAGAAGGTGTGTGCTGTGACCTCAGAGAATGCTGGAAGCTGCCTTCAAGATAGAAACCAAGCTGGGCATGGTGACCCATACCTGTAATCTTAATACTCAGTAGGATGAGGCTAGAGGATCACAAGTTCAAGGCCAGCCTGGACCATATGGTGATGCTCTGTCTCAGTAATAATGTAAGTCCACACACACACACACACAAAAAAAAAACAAAACCAAACAAAAACTGACCAGAGCTCCAAGCCAAACAGCTTCGGGCAAACATCCTAAGCTGACTGTCAATCAAGGAGATGAATTGCCCTTCAGTTTTGTACCTGAAACCAGCAACATCTGGCCTGGAATCCGCCTCTCTTGTCTTTCTTATGGTCCTCATGAGCAGCTATTTCATATCCAATAGCCCCTAAGACTAGTCACCCACTGGGTCACTGGATCAGCTTAGTAGGCAGGGCAGCAGCAGGTCAGATTTTGAAGGGGGCCAATGCTGAAGTTTGAGTGCAGGTATTTTTGGGGGGCAGGGGGAAGGCAACCATTGGAGCCAAAACCAAAGAAAGAGCTGAGTCTGAGTCTTGTCATTTACATCCCACAAACCCAGCACTCAGGAAGCTGAGACAGGAGGATAGCTGTGAGTTCAATGCTAGCCTGAGTTACATAATGAGTTTCAGGCAGCCTGGGCTATAGAACAAGACACTATCGACCAGGCAATCAAGTAAACAGATAGAGACAGCCAGCTTTGCCTCCCTCTGATATGCCATGTGTTACAAGGGTCTGCAGGCACCTCTTTCTTCCCTATCTTGTCTGGTCTTGCTTGCTCCAGCCTGGCTGAGGGAGATCCTGTTAGCAGCCCTTGCCTTCACTAGACTATCCTCCTGTGCTGACTTTTCCCCTGACTAAATTGTTTGGTCTTGAGAGATGGAGACCTTGCTTGCCTTATCTAATAAATATTTGTGGAACAAACAGTTTATTTTTGGTTGGACAGTAGCTCAGAGAAGTTTCTAAATTGTACAGAGAATCAGCAGTGAGAAGCTGAGATCTTCTGTGGCTTTGTACCTAGCATGATAATTACGATGGCCGAGTTCTACTTTTGACTCTTTGATCACAAGGACCCTCATTTACCGTGAGGCTGCTGAAAGCATTACAAGGTAGATATGCCTTGACAAGTCCTGATATCGTAAACCAGTGGTTCTCAACCTTCCTAATGTTGCATCAATTCATGTTGTGGGAACCCCCAACCATAAAATTACTTTCACTGCTACTTCATAATTATAATTTTGCTGCTGTTATGAATCCTAATGTAAATATCTGATATGCAGGTCATCTGATATGTGACCCCTATGAAAGGGTTGTTTGATCCCCAGAGGAGTCTTAACAGTTGAGAACCACTGTTAAAACCACCAGCTTTCATTGTGGGCTTCAGTAAATAAGTTTTAACTTCTGTTCCCAGTTTAAACATGTCTTAAACAGGTTTCTGCTTTTGGCAGACACATCTGAGTATCAGTTGCTGACTACAGGCTGTTCTTAAGTAGACTGAGAGCCCTGGACTTGCTGTGGATGTGAACCAGTCCAGCTGATGCAGATACCCCCTGTCTCTGCAACAGAATCTGACAACCAGAAGCTCCTGATTGATTCCCCATTGCATAAATTCCCTTTTTTGCTTTTGACTAGCAATTCAGCCTTCTTGGGTCTCTAACTTCGTCCCAAAGTCAGCAGGAAGTAGCATGGGAAAGAATATGTCACCCATTTTCCCTGGTTGAAATGCTAAGTCAGAAGGAACTCCCTTGCATGGGGATGCCAATATCTCTCACTCCCTGATGGGGACGCTGGAGAGACAGCAATTCCATGATTGGAATCTCCAAAAAAAGAAAATGTGGGAATGAAGGGACCAGCTCCCCATTTCGGCAGCCATAACAGCCGAACACGTACTTGCCTGACATTGTCTTGGTCACTAGGAGGTCAGATGCCTGCCTCGTGGCAAGGAACCAATCAGAAGTTAGCTGGTGGTGCTATGCTCTGGGTGTGCTTTACGGACAAGTGCACAGCAATGATGTGCAGAGCATAGCAACCGCCCTGGGAGGGCCTATGGGCCATAACAACCAGTTGACCAATCAACACAGAGCAAAGCCTCCTAGCCTGGAGTCACACCAATCCTGAGCCTGTGTGTACCCCTAGACACTCCCCTTGCTCTGCCCTATAAGATCTCTACACAGTGGCTTCACAACGTCTTTTCTAGCCATCTGCCATGGTGGATGGATTAAAGGCCCAAGCTAACATGGGGTTGGCTCCTTAAACAACTTCAAGAAAGCCTCTTCATGTTGCTAAGAAAAAAAAAAACAGCTTTAATCCCAGCACTATGGAGGCAGAGGCAGGCTGATCTTTGTGAGTTTGTGGCCAGCCTGGTCTACAGAGGTAGTTCTAGGACAGACAGGGCTACACAAAGAAACCCTGTATCAAACAACAACAGCAACAAACCAAACCAAAAACCATCATCTCCAAAGGCCTTTGCCACATTTTATTGAAGCAGAAGAAACAGAATTCAAGCAAACTCCAACTATCTAGAAAAATACCCAGAATGCAGCTGCATGTAGCTGTGTTTAGGGTTTTTTTTGCGGGGGGGGGGGGGGGGGTGCTAAAAATGTGAACTTAAGTCCTCATGCTTGCGTAGTAAGTACTTCACCCACTGAGTCATCCCCCTAGTTACAATCCTTGCTCTTTTTGTTGTTCTTTCAGTTATTTGTCACAGTGACAAAAATTCAGACATATTCACAAGGGAGAAACATGTAAAAACCAGAGTTACACTAATACCTTCCATGGAACTACTAGACCAGACACTTTCTGGATCCTCGGGGCACAGCCCTAGTGAAACCTTGGTCTTGGCCTCCAGTCCTAGCTGTGTGGAGGATGGATCTGTTTTAAGCCACCTGGTTTGTACTGATTTTTCTGGTAACTCCAAACAATGAACCCATTAGGTACAGTCTTTTCTTCTAGCACCAGCCCTTCATGAATATTCATAAGATGGAATCACACCACACATGCACTTTGTCCACATAACACAAACACACATCCACCTTCCAGAGAAGAGGAGAGACAGGCCAAGGTCTAGTACCTTCAGGATGAGTCAGAACCACAGAAAACCAAGTGCTGTCTCTGCAAGTGTGATGGCACCCTGCCAACTCTTCCCAATTAATCTACGACCAGCCTTTCCTGAGACAGACAGCGGCTAAGAAACTTGAAGACAGTTCCAAATGAACTGTTCAATCTTGTTTCCATCATGGTTCAGCGGTAGACCCTGAGGTTGGAACAGCTCTCTCTAGGCTTTCGCTGAATGTGGCATGGCCTGGAGCCAGCTAGGGGAACAGGA